ACCTCATTTAATTTACCGTTATCTTACCACATTCATGCAAGATATCCCTTCACATCACGTTTCTTAAATTTCAATATTATATCCATATATACAATGTTAAAACATTACGTTTTCTATTCTTTTTTAGGCACACCAAAAACATTGATCCCTTGATTATACATCAATTTTCTGAAATGCTTTATGAACATAACCCTCATGCAAAAAGTTTTCAGATGGCCAAACAATGGTTAAGTGACGGAAATATTCAAAACTTGAAATTGAGGTTAATTTCTGATAGAACAACAGATGGCCGAATATATAATCAACCAACCGTGTCAGAAGTTGTTGCATTAGTTGTTGGTGATATTGACACAACTGAAATGAGGGACATAATCATGCAAGCAAAAGGAGGGCAACTACAACGAATTAATGAGCTACATGCAAGTTACTTAGCTTATCAATATCCTTTGATTTTTCCCTATGGAGAAGATGGTTATAGGCCTAACATAGCTCATAGAGACTTAGACATCTTCGAAGACAATAAGAGAAACAGACTAACCATAAGGGAATGGTTGTCATTTCTAATTCAAAGTAGATTCAATGAAGCTAAGACATTGTTATCATCACGCCGACTATTCCAACAATATTTGGTTGATGGTTACACAATGTTAGAGTCTGAAAAATTAGAATGGATCCAAAAAAATCAACCAAAACTCAGGGTATTAAAGTACAACAGTCTTAATGATGAAGGTGATCAAAGTCAAACACCAGGATCAACCATAGGGAAAAGAGTGGTTTTGCCATCTTCCTATGTTGGTGGTCGTAGGTTTATGGATCAATTGTACTATGATGGCATGACTATCTGTAGTAAAATGGGATTCCCTGATTTATTCATAACTTTTACTTGCAACCCAAATTGGCCTGAGATACAAAGAGTATTGACACCTCTTCATTTGAAAGCACAAGATAAACCAGATGTTATTCAAGGATATTCAAAATCAAGTTTGATCAATTACTTTCAAATTTAACAAAGAACGGTGTGTTAGGCAAAGTGCTTGCATGTAAGTTATATTTCTCAACTTTACTTTAATTTGAGTTACTTTATGCTAATTCTAAGTCTTTCTTTTCAATATTTTCTAGTGTACAATTGAGTTTCAAAAGAGAGGGTTGCCACACGCACATATTTTGATATTTTTGCATCCTTCTAACAAGTATCCAACACCTGAAGATATTGACAAAATCATTAGTGCTGAAGTGGCTGATCCTTTGAAAGACCCAAAGTTGTACAATTTAGTTAAAACTCACATGGTTCATGGTCCTTGTGGTTTGGTAAATCGGAATTCACCTTGCATGAAAGACATGAAATGCTCAATGTTTTACCCAAAAAAAATCCAATCTTCAACAATTGTGGATCAAGATGGCTATCAAGTGTATAGGAGAAGAGACAATGGACACACAATTGAGAAAAATGGAACCATCCTTAACAATGATCATGTGGTTCCTCAAAATCCAAGTTTATTGTTAAATTATGAAGCCCATATCAACATGGAATGGTGCAATCAAAGTACTTCTATCAAATACCTGTTCAAATACATAAATAAAGGTTCAGATTGAATTTCTGCAGTTATTCAACCTTCTGACAACACTACTTGTGCTAACAAAAATCACATTGATGAAATCAAGCAATATCTAGATTGTCGATACATCTCCCAAGTGAAGCATGTTGGAGGATATTTTCATATTCTATTCACGGTAGGAAGCCGACTGTTGAGAGATTGTATTTTCACATGGAAGGAGAAAATTTTGTATACTACAAAGACTTTGAGCAAATTGAGAATGTTTTACTCAAACCAAGTGTAACCGAATCAATGTTTACAGCATCGTTTGAGGCAAACAAAAAATTTGAAGATGCACGATTGTTATATATATATATATATATATATATATATATATATATATATATATATATATATATATATATATATATATATATATATATATATATATATATGGTGATTTTGTCTCTAAGTTTGTTTACCATAAACCAAGTAGGAGTTGGAAACCTAGGAAAAGAGGGTATACCATTGGTCGTCTTATTTGGGTTCCTCAAAGCACAGGTGAATTATTTTATCTACGGATGATGTTGACTTTAAAAAAGGGGTCATTAAGTTACAAAGATATCAAATTTGTTGATGATGTACAACACAAAACTTTTAGAGAAGCATGCTTTGCTATGGGATTCTTACAAGACGATAGAGAATTTATTGAGGAAATTAAGGAGGCCCGTGTTTGGGATTCTGGTGTTTTTTTTACGGAAATTGTTGGTTACCATGTTGTTATCATCATGCATGAATAAACCCGGGCATGTTTGAAATAATTCATGGTTCTACTTATTAGATGGTATTCTTTATGAACAACGTATGTTGACAGAAAATCCAGGTACATAAATTATTTCATGGGTTTCTACTTTATATCTCTTTACTTTAATATTACGTGTTTCAAATATGACTTCTTATTACCATAGGATTGATACTTACAGATGAAGAAATAAAACAACTCACACTTATGGCGATTGAAACACAATTGCAAAAAAACAAGAAAACTTTGAAGGACTACAATCCAATGCCATATCCAAAAGATTTTGTAATTTCCTTTCTTGGAAGTAAGCTTATTTATGATGAGAGACAATATGATCCGATTGCTCAACAACAACTATATTTAAATTTACACGCATCTCTTACAAGTAACATCAAATTTCATTTATTTAATTTAATCAATTAATGTTGATGTTGGTGATACTAATTTTTTTTATGATAATGGTTTTTTAAGATGAGCAGAGAAATATTTTTGAAGAAATAATGGAAGCTGTAGAAAATAAAAAAGGTGGTGTGTTTTTCTTATATGGCTATGGTGGAACAGGTAAAACATTTATGTGAAACACTTTGTCAGCTGCACTTCAGGCTAAAAAAAATTGTGTTGCCTGTTGTCTCAAGTGGGATTGCAGGTTTGTTGTTACTAGGTGGAAAAACAACTCATTCTAAATTTAAGATTCTAGTCCCTACTTTGGAATCTTCCATTTGCAACATTGACAAAAAAGATGATCTTGCTGATCTTTTAAAGTTGACTGATCTAATCATATGGGATGGAACTCCTATGACTAACAAATTTTGCTTTCAGGCTCTTGACAAATCTTTGAAGGATATTATGAGTATTAATGGAGAAGTGTCTGAAATTTTTTTTGGAAGGAAGGTTGTTGTTTTTGGTGGTGATTTCAGACAAATTCTTCCTGTTATACTAAGAGGTACTATATCAGATATTATTCATGCAACCATCAATGCTTCATATATTTGGGATCATTGCAAGATACTCAAACTTACAAAAAATATGCGCTTGCAAAATGGAGCAACGACAAGTACCACAGAGGATATTCGATTTTTTTCTGAGTGGATCTTAAAAATTGGAGATGGGACAATGTTTGAACCAAATGATGGTTATGTTGAGATTACAATTTCCCAAGAGTTTCTCATTTTGAATTTTACAGATCCTATGAGGGCTATTGTTGAAAGTACCTACCCCGATCTCATTCATAACTACCATGATTCCAATTACCTTCAAAGTCGTGCAATTCTGGCTTCAACTATTGAAGTAGTAGATGATATCAATGAATACATCACAAGTTTTCTGCCAGGTACTATTCATGCTTTCATACTATATTTAATTTAGTAACTTATGTATTTCTATTATTTATCATTAATTGCGAATACTTTTTTCTTTTATGTTTTAAAGGGGAAGAAAAGAAATACTTCAATAGCGATTCTGTAGATAGATCTGAAGCAACTGACTTTGATGCATTTGAACACTTGACAATTGAATTATTGAATGCTCTTAAAACATCAGGATTGCCTAATCATTCAATAAAGTTGAAAATTGGGACCACAATTATGTTGTTGCCTAACTTGGATCAATCTGAAGGATTATGCAATGATACACAACTCACTGTAACAAGGCTTGCTAATCATGTCATTGAAGTTAAGATCATTTCTGAAAGAATATTGGTAACATCATTTATATTCCAAGAATGTCTTTATCTCCCTCACAATTACCATGACCTTTTAAATTGGTGAGAAGACAGTTCCCAATTATTGTTTCTTTTGCTATGACAATTAACAAATCTCAGAGTCAATCTTTAGACAACGTTGGTTTATACTTACCAAAAGATGTTTTTAGTCATGGTCAATGGTATGTCGCACTTTCTAGAGTTAGGACTAAGGAAGGTCTTAAGATTTTGATTCATAACAAACATAAACAGGTTATGCATACTACCACTAATGTTGTCTTCAAGGAAGTTTTTCATAATATCTCATAAGTATTTTAATGCAGACAAGTTATGTATCATTTATTGCCTATTACAAATGGTATTCTGAGTTTTCATCTAATATATATCTTTTTCTATACCGATTGAAGACTTTTGTTCATTAAGGAGATTGATGGTTCGCAATCTACCCAATATCATGAATGATTGTAACACACTTGTATTCTTTTATTTTATTTTGTGTGTCTTTCCTTTTTTCTTTGACATTCATACTCAATTTAAGTACTATATTTTGTGTCCACATATTGCAAATCATTTGTTCTTTTCATTTTTTTCCAAACTATAGCCGTACTTAATGTTACCGTTGTTATAAGAAAGTTTTTATATTTGGTACATCAAACATCTTTGGTTTTTTTAAAAGATACAAAACCATAAGATGATATTAACATTATTTCATTTTTAATTTCTTTTTATTTTTTCTTTTTAATAATTTTAAAATTTTATTTATTTTATATAATTAACGTGCATTACATAATTAAATTTATCTTAAAACTAATAGATCCGTGCGAACGGGACTTTTACCGGTTATAAATCCCTAATTTAATTATTACACCAAAACCTATACATTATATTCAGCGTCCAACCAGTAACACAACACTCCTTAGCAGTCACTGAAACCAACCAAAACACACAAATCCTAATCGCAACAATGAGCTTCATTGACGACGGCATCGACTTAGACCCCTCCGATTTCGGCACATCAGTCCCTCTAAAGAAAGTCCCTAACGGCGACGTTTTCCAAGCATCTCGCGCCGGCGACGTCGACCGTCTCCGGTACCTTCTCGAATGCGGTGTTAACGTCAACGCCCGTGATCAATGGGACTCCGTCGCACTCTACTACGCTTGTCTCGCCGGTCACCTCGACGCCGCTCGTATGCTTCTCGAAAGCGGCGCTATTTGCTCTGAACATACCTTTGACGGTGACCGTTGTCATTATTCTGCTCTCAATTTGAAGGTTCGGAAGCTTCTTAAAGCGTTTGAAGCTCGTCCTCCGCCTTTGAACCCCTTGCAGTCTTCTCTAAGGGATACTTTCTTCGCTTGCCCGGCTAATTCGCATTCTGGCGGCTTTCAGTTTCCCGGTATGAAATATGAATTCGATTCTACCTTGTTTTTGCTACTAGTTAGATTAATTAGTATATGAGAATGTTAACTTGCGGAATTTATATTTAAATTTAGGAGTTTTTGTTGGAATTTCAATATATTTTTTTTATTAAGTTGCAATTTTCATTATGATGTAAGAAGGATGCACTTGAAGTTAAAAGGGAATGCAACAAGATGACGCGCCTGTTAGAGTTTGGTTTTTTTTATGATAATAGAAGTATTTGATTTATAGGTTGTGAAAATTTCCTTTATCTTAAGTTTATTGATAGATGATTTTGGGGAATGTATGAGAGAGAGCTTATGAGAAATTTGAGCTTTAGAAACTCTTTTTAGGGTATCTTTGGATTGAGGATTTTAGAGGGTTTTAGAGAGATAAGTCTATATTTTGGTATATATATATTCCACGCTTTAATTTTTTTTTTGAAAGAATAACATGATAGATGATCTTATAACATTTCAACTACAGTTACTACACAATCACGAGACATTTTATAGCTTCCTCAATTTAAAAAAAAAGTCCCTACCCCTCCCAGCCCATCCGCCTCCCTTCAAAATCCTCTATCCAGCCATACCCTTAGTGTAGGAGTTTCACAGTTTTTGTGATATTAGATAAATTCTTTAGCCACCGGTGTGGCTGTTTTGGTAGAATGTTTGCTGGATTTTCTTTTGCTGTTGGGAAGAGGGTGCTTTCTGCTCAATCGGATGGGAGTTTTCAGTGGTTGGTGGTGGGGCTTTTTTTGGCCGCCGCTTAGGATGTCATTCTGGTTAGATGCTTCTTTTGCCGTGTAGGAACTGTTCTCTCTAATTTGGTAGCACATGGCCCGTTTGGGAATTTATTCTAGGGTGGGTTTGTTTTGCATTCAGCTAGGACCTAGGATTGGTTTTAATTGACCGGAGGTTTTGGTACATCTGCAAACCATTCATAGAACAGTGAAGGTGCAAAAGTAAGTGAATTGGTTTTTCTTTTCTTTCTCTGTACTGATAGGCTTTGCTTTAGTCTTCATTGCTTCTGATTTTTATTAGGTGGTGGTCTTTGGTTTAAAGTGCCTTTTAGTTGGAACTTGTTAGTGTTGTTTGGCTCACTTTCATTTGTTTTTGGTCTATGTGGTATTACTTTGTAATTCTACTATTTCCATCTTTCACAACTTGTGGTAGAATGCAACAATTTTAATATATTTTGAATGTTGAAATAAAATAATTTCTTTCCTCTAAGTGCTTGTTCAAAAATTTATTCAATGGGACTCATATTTATGTTGTTTATAGTTTTAGTGGTCAGAGGTGAAACGAGTGAGGAAGAATGCGGGAAGACAGCTCTGAAAAATAGGGGTATATTGTGATAGTTAGGTGTATGATAGGAGTTTTTGTTGCTAATTTCAACACGAAATATTCATGGGAAATTGAAGGGGAATACGAAAAAGAACCAAATTACTCTTTGTTGCCACATAATAATTGAGATGACAAATCAGCACGTCGCTGCTACATATTACACTGACTGTTACTAGGGATTATTCTGTGCAAAACACAACAACTACACAAGTCAAACCAGACGACATGGCACACTAACAATAAAAAAGTGCATAACTGTTGACGAACTATTTTTCTTTTCCTCTCCATTTCAAAAACTACAGCAGCGTCGGCATAACAGCTTCATAGTCGGCGTGCTTAATCTTCCCCTGCTTGGAAGTTGTTGGAGGACACTGTCTTTTGCCAGCAAAACAAGACATGGGGGTTGGGGATACTGTTTGCACAGTGTTATGGTGAAATATGGTTAAATAATTAGAAGATATTTGAAAAGCTGCAGCCTGCTAGCTCTGTTTTTTCATAGTTTAATAAAATTCAGGTTGCATAAATATTGTCAATGGCAGGCAGAAGGCGGTTCAAGGCAGCAAGCCGAAAATCCGCTAAAACCATATGGTGGATGGCATTGCGGCCTATTAAAGAAGCATGCCGGCTATAAAGTATACCATGAAAACTGAATAATATAATAAAATAAAAAACTAATAAGCTCCAGACATAGTTAAACCCCGCTGCTCAACTGTCTACCACAGTTGCGTCCATGCATGGACTCGGGATAACAAATTGAAGCTACACCAGGCACATATCATTTCACTAGATTTTAGGTCTGTTTTGTTTTATTTCCCCTAGAAAGGGTTGCTTCATTGCTTAAGTGGTGGCTCTCCTAGATCACAAATGTTGGTCAATTTCATTGATTAGACAAGCGTGCCTGGCAAATTGATACAGATATAGTACCTTTACCCTCCAGTTATTAGTGTCATAAACATTTGGATCACTTTATCATCTATTTCCAAACTTCCTCGAGATGTTTCATCTGTGAACTATTTGAGTGTGCTAGTTTTTCTTAGCTTTTCTTGTTTGTCATTTTATATTCTTAATTTTGTCTTAGAGTTTTCCTTCTTGAAACTTGAAACTCTTATGTTGATGGCTTTGGTAGATTTCTTGCACCGTGTTTGGATTTATTGATAACTACCAATTAGGGATCCAAGAACCAAAGAGGAGACATTGCTCATTCACCATTCTCATTAGAAATATTTTTAATTCATTTCTAAGTTTTGTCCAAATGAAGTCCTTACTAGAATATTTGTAGGAAAAGTGCTCCTATGCCTAAAATGCCTTAAACATGAATAAAGTTCCATGAAAGGGGATTACACCACTTACTAAAATAAAACAGAAACTATTACATTCCAAATTAAACAAAAATACAACTATAATTATTCTAAAGTCATAACATAAATATTTCCTTGCTTTCCTAATACCTTTTGGGTCCTCATCACGATTCTTACCACAGTCTTACCAAATATGATTAGTGTGTTAGACCAAAGTTCCGACAAAAAGCAAAGATCTGTATGATCCTCTGAGGTACATCAAGAATGACAAAAGGGTTTGCATGGGAAGAGTCCTCCACCTCAAATAGGAATCTGATATCAGATTTCTAATGATAATCTGAATTCTCTGAGTACTGTTTTACTGAATTCTCAACTCTTGAAAATTACATGTGGAATTACTTATTTTAGCCACATGTATCTTGAACTGACTGAATGCTGAAGTAGCTTAATCAATGACTCTACACTGACTTTTTGACTAATTTGATTATTTAAACCCCTTATTATGGTATTGGACTTTCCTAGACATGATAAACTGATTAAATACATATAATAATGGCTTTTGAGCAGGTAAGATAATATTCTTACACAACAACTACTGAGAATATCAAATGATAAAAGAAGGCTAGTTTATTCTTCATCAACTCTCATATTTCTCTCATGTGAGATGGGGTTGCCATTGTTTGTAATAATTCTTTTTCCAAATAATAATGTTGTATTTATACATGGTCTGGGACTCATATTTATCATATTTGAATAGGTATTCCATCCACTCAAGGGTTAAGCTCCAATTACTTTCCTCCAGATGTAGTTTTTACTGTACAAGGAAGACCTATTGAAGCTCACAGGGTCATATTAAGTGCAAGGTCGCCATTTTTCAAGAAAAAATTTGAGACTGATTGGAAAGAGCGCAGCGAAGTAAGATTTTCACGGGAAAAACTGTCATATCCCGCGCTTTATAGCCTTATAAATTTCTTTTATTCAGACAGATTAGAGATTGCTGTGGATGACATGGATGATCTTGTGAGAATTTGCAAAGTATGCAAATGTGAATCTCTACAGAAAATTCTCGAGAAAGAATTGACTCATCAAAAATATGCACTGTATAAAGCTTTGAGTGATGTAGACAATTCTCAAAAACGGTTTATTTTACAAGGTTTATCCCTTCCTGAAGAAGACAGACTTCCTGCTGCCTTGCGAAGAATCCTTCTGGCAGCCCTTTCAAATTCCATTCATGAAAATGGTCAAGATAATGGAATCGATAAATTGGTATCTAAGATGGATGCCATGCAGATAGATAAACCTCTAAATGATCTTGCTGATGTTTGCATTAGAGTTGATAGAAAAAATTTCCGCTGCCATAAAGTTATTCTAGCATCAAGGTCAGAATATTTCAAAGCAAGGCTATCACGTATGAAGGATTTCCATGAAGGGAAAGATGAATTGTATATTGACTTCCTTCCTTGTCTTGAAGAACATGACATGAGTGTGGAAGCATTTGAGAAAATGATTGAATATATGTAAGTCTCTTCCTTTTACTGTGAAATTCGGAAATTGAATATCTTGGAGGGATCTAGTATGGCAATAATTACAACGGTAACTTGAGATCATTTTGTGAATCAGTATCCGTGACTCTGTTTTATTCTATAGATTCTTATTTACTAATAAATGCTTTGCAATGTGGATATTCTTTCTCAAGTTCCAGATTATTTGTATTTATATTCGGGAGAAAAGCTTCACCTATTTTTTGTATGTCAATCTGGAATATCTAACAAGTTGGCCCAACATAACCAATTTCATTTAATTTTGTAGCTTTTTAAGTACTCATGGTTGTGCTTCCAGTTTGTCAAAGATTAAGTAAAGCCTATTCTATTGCCTTAGTTTCATGCATGTTTGTTTTAGTACCATGTCATTTTTGTGTTGTTGTATATTAGTTTCTGTAGCATGCTCCCGCAACTACCCCTTTTGCTTGAAGTTTCTGAAAACATAATAAGTGTATTTGTACTCTTTTTTTTTTTTTATTTTTTTTTTTTTACGTCAAGTGTATTTCTACATTAATAATTGTACATTAATTTTCTGCTGCAAGTATGACTTTTTTGTAAATTTTATCCTGTCTCTTTATGTTGGTATAGGTACACTGATCGTTTGCAGGAAATAAATCCAGATCAGGTTTTTAGACATCCATATAGATTTCTGTTAAAAGTTGTCTGTCTTTTTAGTGTCAAATATTCATGTTATGTTTTGATTTTGAACAGGCTGAGGAAATGTTTGATATTGCTTCTAGATACTTGATGTTCCCTCTTAAGCGTGCAGTGGCTGATGTCTTGGTGCCACACTTGGAAATGGCGTCACCTGAAGAACTTTGCCAATGGTTAATGCTAGCTGACATGTAGTTTTCTTTTCTGCCTGTCTCTCTCCTTCATCTTACTCTGATGGCTGCAATTGTTGTCATTTTTGTTTCTTTATTATGATTATATAATTGTTTCAATAAATTTTGATCCTTGTGCTTTACCTTTTCGTTTCTACTTGTTTTAGACCTCACTATGTTACCATTTCCCTCTTTATTCATTCACCATTGCTCAAATTGATCTTAGGAATGTGTTGTAAGAGGAAACTATGTTTTTGTTCTCTGATTTGTACGTCTTCTAATTGAAGAGTATTGTAGCCTGTTGTGGTGAATTACATATGTTATGTCCCTTTTTTCTTTCTTTCTTTCTTCATGATAATTGATTTTTGTTCTCATTATTGTGTGAAATACTATTGTTAGAAGTATATTTAGATCTATAATATTGAATCTGTATTTCTATTGAATATTTGTTCATTTCCAGGTATGGTGTTTTGAAGATTCGGGAATTCTGCCTAGATACCATTGCCTGTAATTTTGAATTATTTGCGGATACTAAAGAATTCAGGGCAATGCTGCTGACTTTGCCTCCACCATCCGGAGACTCATCTCTTCGTACCACTGTCCCAAGCATGCCTGGATCTACCCTAAATAATGATCAAGGAAATCTTCTTGATGATTTACGTGATAAATGGCTTGAAATTGAAGCTGCTGAGCTTGACGAGAGAGATGATAGTGCTTTGCAATTTGACAAGCGCCTAGAGATGCTTATGCTTGTTGCAGAGCATGAGAAGTCATCAGGTGATGCTGATTCAAATTGTGTTAAAGATGTCCCATCTTTGGCTTTCTCTCCAATCACTGCTGTAATTTCAGGCGAACACAGAGAACCGTAGATTTCTGAATATCATTTTATAGAATGTATAGATTTTTAGATCATCACGGTGTAGTTTAGTAGGGTACTAAGTTAGGTTGCTTGGAGTACTTAAGTTGGGTTTTAGTAACTGAAGTTGCTCTAGCATTCATTGGTTCTTTAAGTTCTATTTATTATATTCTTATTACTATTACATGGTAGTTTTGACATTTTGGTTGTCTTACATGATTGTGTGCTTTTGTTCAAACCAGCTTTGTTACAAAATAAGTCTGAGAAAAACTCTTTAAACCAGCTAGAAAGTACCTGATAATATCGTATCATAAACAGATGTTAATTTCTATATCATTACTTTCATGCCAATATAGGTTATATTATTACTGTAATCTGCTAAGGCTCTTACTATCTGACTAATAAAAGATAAAGATTCTAATTGGCAATCTAGGATATCATTTATACCAAGATATGAGTGAATTGGTTATGCACATTGAATTAGGCATTCAGACAAACATCTGTGTATTTATATGAAATATTTAGGATGAGATGATGGTGTTTTTGTGTAAGGTAGGAAATTTTTGAAGTTTCTAGAACATTTGCATAAAAGTTTGTCCGTGTAAGGTAGGGTAAACTTAAAAGTTTAGAGAACACTTGCATAAGGGTTTATACTTATCTTAATTTCAAGGTGGCAAGGTCTGAAGAAGCATGGTATTCATAAGATATCGTTTCACAAAGTCTATAAGTTGTACAACCTCATGGATAAAAGGGTTCACATCAACATAGATGGGATTTTTCAATGAACCAGAGAAAAGAAGTGATATCAATTATGATTTTGCAGAACCTGTTCAGATGAAGAGATTGGTGCTGAAGACACTAAAGTTGCAAATGAAGGACCAATGGAGACTCAAACACATGTGAGACCATAGAGAACAAGACAAATTTCTAATAGACATGCATATTGTGAACTGTTATCTGACAGTGCATTTCAATAACAAAGGTGAGCTTATACATTTTGCTCTACTAGCTGATGCTGAGCCGATCAACCATGATAGGCAATGAAGAGTAAGATATGTAAGGAGACCATGATTGAGGAATTCAAGTCAATTGAAAAGAATCACACTTGAGAGTTGGTAAAAAGAAAGACGACTATTGATGTGAAATGGGTATTCAAGGTAAATTTGAATCTAGATGGCTCATTTTCAAGGTATAAGGTAAGGGTATTAGCTAGAGGTTTCTTGTAGAAGTATATGATATTGACTATACGAGGTGTTTACTCATGTTGTAAGACTTGAGATAATGAGACTAGTTGTGACAATACTTAGTAGCATGAATTGATCCCTCTACCACTTAGATGTAAAGTTTGCATTCCTAAATGGTCCATTTGAAAAAACAAAATTTTTTTTCACTCAACCACCAGGTTTTGAGATAAAAGGCAAAGAAACTCGCACAAAACCTTGTATGGAATGAAAGAATCTCTTAGAGCCTGGAGCAAGAGAGTCGATCAATTTTATATTCTACTAGGATTCAAAAAGTGCACAGTTGAGTACGATGTCAATGTGTAAAGTTCTAGCAATTCAAGTATCATGATGATATGCTTGTATGTGGATGATCTACTCATCATTGACAGTCATTTATGTGAGATTGAGAATTAAAAACATAAAATAAAGGTTGAGTTTGAGATGATTGACTTAGACAAGCTCTCATACTTTCTTGGCATGAAATTTGAAAAAGTCAAGGAAGACATGATAATGCATTAGCAAAAGCATGTGAAGGAATTGTTATATAGGTTTGAGATTATTGATTGCAACACAGTCACAAACTCATGAAATAAATGCAAATATTGATGAATATTATGATAAAGAGAAGGTAAAAGAAACATTGTACAAACAAATTATAGGATCATCAAAATACTTATGCAATAGCATATCTAACATCTTTTTTTGCAGTAAGTATAATTAGCAAATTCATAAGCGAGTTTAAGAAATCACATCTATTGTTAGCAAAGAGAATATTCAGGTACCTAAAGGGAACTATGCTACTTGGTTTATTATTTTCAGCTATTGTGAAAGTTAAGAAGACAAGGTTGATAAATTATTCAGATTCTAATTGGTGTGGTGACAAAAGTGATAAAAGAAGCACATCAAACTATAATTTCATGTACAATGAAGCTGTCATTTTCTAGTGTACAAAGAAACAACCTGTCACAACTTTGTCATCATGTAAGGTAGAGTACATAGTTGACTCATTTTCTTCATGTCAAGTAATTTGGTTGGTTCATTGTTGAAGAAATTAAAATGTGAAGTGCAGAAGATAACAAAGCTTATGATTGACAACAAGTCAACCATAAATTTGGTCAAGAATTCAATTTCACAATAGAGGAGCAAGCATATTAAAACTAGGTTTCACTTCATAATGGAGCAAGTCATAAAAAGAATGCTTGAAGTTTCATATTGTCTAATAGAATTGTAGCTAGCTGATGGATTCATCAAGACTTAAAAAATCAATAAATTTGTATTTTGAGAGAACAACTAAGACTGTCATATGTTTAGAATATTTGATAATTACGAAAATATAGTATTCCTAGGTTATTTATTTAGCTAGTTATTTGTTAGAAGCTTAAACTAACTAACAAATGATTAGTTAGTTATGTTAGTTATTTAACCAACAAGCTATAATTACGGTAAGTCTGTTTTTGATTTGTCGAGTAAGACTAATATTGTTGAGATAATTATGGACTGTTGAGATAACTCTGGATTGTTTTGAGTATATGTCTTGAACATCATAATCATCGATCCAATAAGGTTTGGAGTGAAGATTAATGACAAAGATAAGGAAATTATATTGCTCTGTTCATTACCAAGTTCTTATGACCACTTGACGACTACTCTTTCTAAGGGAAAGACATCATCAGACTTGATGTGATTACTGGTACACTTTTGTCTCATTCTCAAAGGAGACAAAATATAGAGGAAAGAACTCAAGGTGTCGGTTTGTATGTGAGAGAGGGTCAAGATCATGGGCGAAATAAGGGTAATGGAGGTTATGGAAAGAAGAGGTATAAATCCAAGAATTGAAAAACAACTGAGTGTTATAGTTACAATATGAGTCATTGGAGAGAGATTGTCCAAACATAAAGCTGTGCTCATCCACTTCTACAAACGAGGTTCAATGTCACTGAACAAGACATGCTAATTTATAACTTGAAGAGGTATTTGTATGGTTTAAAGAAGTCTTCAAGGCAATGATACAAACACTTTGATTCATACATGATTAAGATTAACTATAGAAGGTGTGAGTAAAACTGTTGTGCTTACATTAGGAGCCTTGATGATGACTCTTTTATTTTTTTTTGTTATTCTATGTTGATGATATATTGATTGTTGCTAATCATTTACATGATGTAAATGAACTGAAATAGGGGAGAAGTTTGACATGAAAGATTTAGGTGCTGCTAAGAAGATTTTTGTTATGGAAATTCACAGGGATAAAAATGCTTGAAAATTATGGCTTTCTAAAAAAAGTTATGTTGAAAAGGTGTTAGACAAGTTTGGTATAAGTAATTAGAAAGTTGTGAATATTCTATTGGCGAATCACTTTAAGCTCTCATTGGATCAATGTCCAAAGACAGATGCATAAGTTAAGTATATGCCATATGTCCCTTATGTCAGTGCTATTGGTTGTTTAATATATGCTATGGTTTGCACTAGACCAGATTTGACACAAGCTGTAAGTTAAGTTTGTAAGTTTCTATCAAAACCAGGAAAACGTCACTGGGAAGCACTCAAGTGAATTTTAGGTACTTGAAGGGTACTATGAATTATTGTATCATGTTTAGTAGTGAACAGGGTGATCCTTCAGTTATAGGATATGTTGATTCAGACTATGCTGGTAATATGAATGATATAAGGTCTACAACATGGTATGTCCTTGCTTTAGCAGAAGGACTTATATGTTAGAAATCACTGATTTAGTATATAGTAGTCATGTCGACAATTGAAGCGGAGTACATGGCGGTAGACATAGCTACCCAAAAGGGTTTATGGCTTACAAGATTGGTGGATGAATTGAGTATATAAGAGAAAAGATCCATACTCTTAATACCTTAAGGTTTTGGGTGGAGATGTGGCCTCTCTCTCTCTCTCTCTCTCTCTCTCTCTCTCTCTCTCTCTCTCTCTCTCTCTCTCTCTCTCTCTCTCTCTCTCTCTCTCTCTCTCTCTCTCTCTCTCTCTCTCTCTCTCTCTCTCTCTGAGTATTGGGCGCCCGCTGGTGCTCCTAACTTCCAGAAACTCCAATTAGAGCCATGGTTAGGTTCGTGGGGGGAGTGGAAGTGAGATCCTAGTATGAATCAAAGTTAGTGATAATGATGTGGGTGATTCACATTTGTAGTGGAGATTGTTGGAATTTAAGTGTAAGTGGTTAAGTCACACATTGACTAGAAATAAAGGAAATGTTAGGTATATAAGAGAAATGACTAATATCCGAATTGCTTTAAAATTTTAGGTGAATATACGGTGTCAAAGTCTCTTAAATCCAGAACGTTTAGTCTATTGACATTTTCGACACTCCTCAAATTTTCCAAAACTTATCTTTCTTTTCTCTTTTTTGGTGAGTTTTTCAATCTTTCTTGTACAATTAAAAACACATACATATGTTAACAAATATGACCTTTTTAAGCTACTTTTAACTATTCAGTGATTGTGTTTTTCACGCAGTACAGTAAGTTTCTTATACTTGAGCACAAGAGATAACAACATAATATAAATGTACACTGGCACTGATATTTTATGGATCATGTGTCTGTGTTTCAGCACTAATCTTTTTAGATTCCAACACAAATGTTAGCTTTCTTCTATTCAGTTTGAGATTTGACTTTGTAATCACAAAAATAAAACTTTAGTTCGAATGCTTTTCTTAAAAAATGTGATTGAACTTAATTCATCCATAAAAAGATTAATTTATATAGTGATAATTGTTTTCATTTATAAACACATATTTAAGTTATATATTATTCGACCGACTGACACAAGCCTCTTATCATCTTCTAAAATCCATTCTAACATGTCACATTAAATACTACATAATTTTTTCATCTGTAGTTAAAGTATATTACAACAAGAGACCCAATATATTTTTTCATCTGCAGTTAAGTTTATTTCAATCAAGAGACCAATATATTCAATATATTAAGAAATTTCAAAGTTCAAACTAAAAGGAAAATTCTCCATATCTGAAGTGGCATAAAAGAGTCCCACAGAGACAAGCAAGCCATTTTCATAGAGAAATTTACCAAATATTTTTCCTCTCTAGTTTCCTTGAGTCAATTATTAAAAGAAATTCATTACAAGCTGAAATTTGATACATAAGGTATCTGAATTCTTATAATAAATTAAAAAAAATAATTTAAAAATGAACTAAATATGGTAGAGTTACTGATGAAAATTGGGAAGCTTTCCATGCATGGTCAAGCTCAAGCCCAATCCTTCCTAATATCAAAAGTATAGTTAATCTCCAAGTAACATTTATTGTCATCATCAAAAAACTGCACAAAAAAATTACAGTGTCAAAACAAGTTTCTTAGTAATAAAATAAAATCTCATTCCATTTATTTGTAATCTAAGTTACCTTTGTTCTTGCAGTATATTGTCCCCTAGCAAACATCCCAGAAGGTGTAACTTCTTCTGGCATTTCATGTGTGTAAGGCTCTGGCTGAGGACTGAAAGTTCCAAGCATCTCTTTAGTGCTATCCACTGAAATTACATCATAGAATTTATCAACATGTTAAACAGACAAAAGCCGATATTGTTCGGTTAAACGCTAATTTTAGGGTTCGAACCCTGAGAGCTTTGTGACTGTGTGAGTTTTTAGTGGTTATTATCATTTTTTCTACCCGAGTAAAGAATGAATAAAATTGAACATACCTTTAACAGCAGTTTTCCATACAGTATTGGTGTATTTTAATCCAGAAACAATGTTATTTGTCACTATAAGGCTGAATTTCAGACGGTAAGGACTGCCTTCTTTAAGTGTAAACCATAATCCCTTTGGTTTTCCATCTTCAGGAATTGGGAGAACTATGTCATCTCTTCCAGGAGATATTATTGAAAGACTTGTAAAATTCACTTCTGGTTCAAGAATTTCTACAAACACAATACATTCAAATTAACTAAATTCTCAAAAGAATCGTATGATACGGACGATACGGACACTGGATACAACATAGACCCTAGCACACGGTGACATCAATAATAATTAAAGGTAATCAGACATGTCAGTGTCGTATCGGTGTCTGTACTCACACGAACACGCTTTTTTTGAGAGGTGTTCGCTTACAAGACCATGATTTATTTATATACATACCTCCAATGTTGTTCACATCCACACTCCCAAGAAGCTGCTCCTTCCATTTTCTTAGACTCTCATCATCCTAGTACAAAACAAAAACAATAACAGAAACAAATAATAAAGAAGGAAAAACAAAATCTACATTAACAAGAAAAATACTTAGTTTCACAAGAAACAAAACCTTATCTTTCTCAAGGTGTTCTTTAAGAGTGCAAAGAGGACCTAGTTGTATTTTGCTTCCATATTCATCTTCTTCTTCTTCAGTTCCATAAACAGACGACGTTTCGCTCGTATGCCTGCTAAGAGGCTCATGATGTTCTTCTTGTTCTTTATTACCAGCCTCACTAGTTTCTCCTGTTTCTTTGTCATCATTATCCAACCCCATCTTCTTGGAACTTCAACAGCTCCAATAGTTAAGGTAGTTAACTCATCAACAATGCTCAAAGGAATGACAAAAATATGAAACTTCCACAAAACTAATGTTAAACACAGAAATTTATGTTTTCAAGAATGATAAATTAAAATAACATTTGAAGGGAAATGAAACCAACAAAGGAAAAAGCATGAAGTAATGACCGGTTTGTGTTTCAGAAAACCAAACAAGAATAAATAAAGAAAAACTTCACATAATTAAAAAAATGGATAAGCGATTATTTGTCTCTTACTAGCTTTTTCTTCCTTTCTATTTTATTCCTCTTTTTGTGGTGATAGTTCAAAATGGGAGGAGGAGAGGAAAAAAAGATTGGTCATTTGGAGACAAATTCTCTTGGTGATCCGAAATGTTTGTTAGAAGTGAATGTTAATTAAAACCACACCACAATTTTGTAACATTGATAAATGAGGGAAATTTTATATTTAAAGTGGTACATACATACTTCTTTAGTTGTTTATCTATATCATTAATATGTGACTAAGTTTTACTTTGGCATTATTTAAATAAAGAAAAGTTTTACTTTAGCTGATGAAGTGTAAGTTTAGTTTTGTAATAAATATCCAAATAAAAGACTTGATATGTAACTATATCCAAATATCTGAATGCACACGCAAAAACAAATATTTAACTATATATCGTAATTTCTTATACAAGAGTAAAGGAAAAAAAAAAGTCAAATACAAATTTAAATGTTTTTAAGTGGTATATTTTTTAACAACGAACTAAAATTTATACATATAACCTTAGTCTTTCACTTCCTTTACAATAGTAATTAATGTGAGACTTCTTCAATATGTAACATTTCAGCTAACATCAACAATCTTCATCTTAATTGAGAATGATACATCAGATTCTATTATCTACAAAAACAATCATAGTTCGTAGAACTATCATACTCCATCATAGATGGTGTTAGTCTGTGAATTTTAGTTTAGTATTTCTACGAGATTGCTAAGTATAAAATAAAAAATTAGCGATAATCTTAACGTTCTGATAACTTCGACTGAAGGGGTGAGTTCGACTCACTTATCAGATATTTTAGGTCTTGGTCTATTTTTGAGTTAAAGGTTTAGATAACCTAGAAACTTACGAAGCCTGATTTAGAAGAATCTCAAGAACAGATCCACAAGATTATGATCACTTTCTTTTCAAAACATGTTAAGAATCTTGAACATGTTTAAGGTGATTTGACATATTTGATAAAAGTAGAAATGAGGTAAATTCACATGCTAAGTACAATTAACTAAGCATTTTGACGTTATGCTCCAATGTTTGACAGAAGCAATTAAAAGATTTAAAAGACAGTTTGAAACAACAAGAGCAGTTCAGAATATTGTGAGAATATTTGTTTATCCTAGGTGGAGTTCAAGATGAGGAATAAGAGATTCTGGTAGAATTTGAAGATGTCGTTTTCTAAGTGTGGAAAATTTTTAGAAAACTTTGAATTGAAGAAACTATTCTTGAGGAGAATAAGTTGCAGATTCTGTGTAACATAATTGCTGCGGATGGATTTAACCTAATCAAAATGTGCAAAAAATACATTGATGCTTAGTAAGTTTTAGGGTTTGTCTACTTGTGAGCCTCTCTTGTATCGTGTTGATACTAGAGCTGGATTGTTTGCACTGCGTTGTAATTTTTGTCACTGTTATGATTGAAAGAGAATTGAAAATGGTCTCATACCTAGGAAAGTCTTAAGTAGAAATTAAGCATGTGTAGTGATTAAGTGATAAGTTATAAACTGAAGGTTTTTTAGCTTAGAATTAATACTATCTAGTAGATTTCATTCTTGACTTGGTAGCCCCCAGCCGTAGGTATTGTTGTACACCGAATTGGGTTAACAATTACTATGTGTTCATTTACTTTTTGCAACTTTTATTGTGCTTCTTCTTGTCATTGTGTTTTAGCAGAGATCATTATCTCGACATCTCTTGGGACATTTGAGATCTGCATACCAGAATTTCAATACTGTAAGTAAACAAAAACTTCTGGTTTAATTTACCAAAAACAACCCTAAACATATTGGTACGCCCAATGAGTCCCTTTTTGTGCAACAAATTTAAAAGGTTACAAAAAATTGTGTGCACTTTTTATATTAATTTTGTTCTTCATACATGAAATACTTTCAATGTATGAGTGTTTATGCATATGAGAAGTGGTAAAATTTTGGCTGATATGACATGTACAAAAAATACGCCCCATCCCTAGAATAATGCTATAGTCAATGAAGAACAACCAAAGGAATCAACAGTTGGTGGATTCGACCTTGCGAGTGCATCGCACGCTCACAGATGACTATCAGAATCACCACTGAACTTTATTTATTCCCAAAAGAAGGAAAGAGAAAATATCAATAAAACTATTATTGCGATTGAACGAAAGACAATGCTTACCCAAATCAGTTAGAAGAAGGGGCGTTTGCATCACAACATAATAGATTTCTATATCAACATTCACTGGAAAAAATCACTTAGCTCACTCACACATATGTGGGAAAAGCGTTGTTTTGCATTGTCTCGAGACAAAACATCTTTCATTTAAAAAGTGTTTGAAGTTGAAAGCCAAAAAGCAAAATGGTTTGGATGTGTTAGGATTGTTTTTGAATGGATGACAAATATTTGAACAAGAGCTAATTGTGGCTAGCACTCAAATAGTCGGAGAAGAGAGAATAAATTACTTCTTCCTCATTCCTTTTTCTTCTAATAATTACAAAACTAAATTCAGTTAATTTATTATGTTTTGAACGAATGACAAGTATTCGACAAAAGCTAAGTAAGGCTAGCACTCAAATACTTGGGGAAAAGAGAAGAAATTACTTCCTCCCCATTCTTTTTTCAACCTATTTTATTAGGAACAAAATTTCAACGCTTCAGATAACGTGCCAATAGCGTAAAAGTAATGATAGCGTACTAACGTAATGATAAAATCAAGTAACCTCAATGCGAAAAAATGTGACGCGAGACTTTTAACATTATACTTAAAATTAAATGAGACACAACAACAATGAAAGAAATATGTCGCATGCATATACAAGAAAATCTAGCAAGTTGCTAACGCATAATGCGCTCATCGTAATCGATTCCAAACAAAATTTATTATACTATACGCATAACGCAATGTAAAACTACCATTACCTACGAGTTCAAAATGAAAGAACTTAAAATCTAGCAAGCATATGCAAACAGGATCGCAACATGAATTAGATATTATGGGAATCAAATCAACATAAACAGCGGCGCATATAAACAACACATACAATCATATATGTTTTTTTATTAACATAATATTACAACATCGTCAACAAAAGTCCAGCAAAATCCAGCGAGAATAGAACCAATATTTAGATTACATAAAAACAACGTAAGCTCAAAGAAAAATATGTAACGACACAAAATAAAATCAGAACATTTACCAAAGTGTTGATGCCTTAATGTTGTTATTACTGCTTGAGTTTGGTGATGAAATGTGATTTTTTCATTTTGGTTGCTGCTTGAAGCTTGCGTTCGCCGAAAGTATGGATCAGAGGTAGATTATGGTGATTCAGTGGCGTTGTAGCGACTGTTTCTAAGGCGGGAGACGTTGAATATTTTGTCGCCAGAATGTGTTAGAGAATGAGGGTGAGAGAGGTTCAAAAGATGAGGCAAAGCGGTTCAATAAAGGTGGTTGTTTGGCTGAAACACGGTGGTGGAGAGTGTAGTTGATGGTTTAGGCGGCGTGGTCGTTGGAAACTGAATGAAACGGTGTGCTTCATAGTTTAATTATGATTGGAAGTTGTTTAGTTGTTGTCGAACCTCGAAAAATCATCGAATATATGACCCTCGTGCAAAAGGCGCGAAAAACGGTTCGATAGAGTCACCACCGAACTTTATTTATCCTAAAAGAGGGAAAGGAAAATATTTAGAGAACCTTTAAAGAGATAAGAACACGGTCATCGCAACTACATTCTGACTTCGGGAGTCAGTTACATGAAAGGAAGGCACGAGCACCCCCTAACGTCTGTTGTACTCAACGGGAACCTCTTAATTCAAATTGTGATGAACGTTAGCTAAGCTTATTTGTTTTCTTTTAAATGACATAAAGCAAAAATGTACGATAAAAGACTCAATGCTAAGGGGAAAAAATGAGTGGTTTTAGGATCGGGTGCTCGCTAAAGATTGAGGCTCTTGTGCCTACGTATGTTCATTGGGACGAGAATGAGGAATCAGAGCACTCGTAGTTCGACTATAAGACGGGTTTGAACAAAAAAGGTGGAAAAAAGAAAATGTAGCTCGGCAAGATCATCGCAATCTTGTGCCTAGGTATCTTTGTTCGAACAGGAATGAAGAATCAGAGCGTTCGTAGTTCATGGATACGACCACAAAAAGAAGGGGTTAATATGTTAAAGTTGGTTTGGACGATGATTACTCAAAGCTTAAGAAAGGCCCTTTGGGCCCAAGTGATCAGGAGATTGAGTCAAAGTCTTGACTCTCTCTCTTTTTCATCTAAGTGGTTGAGAAAAAAGGTTTGAAGGTTAGATGAATTGTAAATGTTTTAGAGGTGTCAATTGCTCACACACGAGTAAGAGAACTCACACCTAAATAACTGAAGAGAGATCAAAGGCTCAATCCCCTTCTTTTTTACCTTGAAAAGAGTTTCAATATTTTTTAATCGTTTTGAAGTTTGATAGCGAAAATACGCTTGACGTTGGATCAAGGGTTTGATTGTATGTGAAGAGGTTGATTGCGAGGCAAAAGGCACTCGGCTTGGAAGGTTGTTTTAAAAACGGCTCAACAATGAATCAAGGGTTAGTTTGAAAAAGTGAGAATCCATCCTAGTCCCTAGGGGTGTCCTAGTAACGAAACCACGACTAAATGTGCGCGTGTGTGCATTAGGTTGATGGTGAATGCTAAAGAGCAACCGACTTACAAAAGTGTTTTGAAAAAGGGCTCGACGGCAAATCGAGAATTAGTTTGAAA